GTTTAAATACAAGATAGCTGCGGATTGAGGGAGATGAAACTTCCTGAAAAATATAACGTTTCGTGCGAAGGCGCTTCGTTTGGTTTCTAACTTCCCAACGTAGAGCCTCGAAGTTCAGCTTGTATTCTTCAGGTAGTTATATCCCTCTCGATCCACAGCTGTCTTGTGATCGTCGCTACCTTCACTGGCACACGCCGTTCGAGATTATTTCAAATACAAGACTAGAACATTTAATGATTTTTTCATTTGGAAAACACTTGCCTGAATTGAAATCTCATATTAGTTTACCCTGATGTACTTTGTCACCCGTACTTAACGAATTGTTCTAAGAAACTAAGATTTATAGTATAGTTTATTTCCAGAATCAGTATAGATCGCGCTGTTTTAGCTAGTCTGGGTAGTTTGTCTTTACAAGAAGGACAAGGATGATCTGTCAGGCAGAAGATAGATCTTAACACATGTTTTCTTTATGCTATTTAGTAACCTCTTGAACATATTTATTCCTAGAAATCAGCACCCTCAAAAAGTGCAGGGTTAGATCATGTTTATGAAGCTGTGAAAAACAAGAATGTTAGTTTTGAGGTGAATATTTTAAACTTGATTTTAACTAATCAACTTACGGTTGCTAACACGGACTAATCTTTATGCCGGTTGCATCCAATTCACATTCTCATTTACCCACATTGCTAGTTACCATTGTTATTATAATATACGCTACCGTAGCAGCGAGAATGTTGACACTTGTTTATGTTCGTTGTTCTCTAAAAACAACTACTACGTGTAATGAAAAGAATCAACATTATTTTCTCGCTTTAATAACTGCTGGTTGACGACCAACTGCTACACAATAGTGCCTATATAGTAACACTAACCAATACTTTAAGAATAGTTTCTTATATTCAGCGTCGGGTAGAGGTACTGTATGCCGAGCACCAGATGCAGTCCAGGGGGAGAGCTGAGACAGCTGTAAAGTTGCTAGATATGGGTTTCAATTTGGAAGATTGTATAGAGGCCGCTAAGGCTTTTGGAGATATGAAACGTGCCCTTGCTTACTTACAACAGGAGTGCCCACTATGTTATGATGAGAAGCCCATGAGCCAGGTAAGAGACATATACGTTCTAAACTGTTTTTACCAATGAAAACTGGCCTTTATTGATACAGTGAAGTAAGGCCGCCATCACTGTTTAGTCCAGTGTTACTGCAGGAGAATCCCAGAGAGTTTGAGGTATTGGGTAGAATCAAACTGGAACTCGCGCTGAAAGTAATCTTGCTTTATATTTTTGCAACGAAATGACTTTACTTTTCATTTAGATGATCACGTTTTTGAGCTGTCGGGACAAAATCTGTAAGGATTGTTTGGCACTTTATCTAACAATCCGTATTAAAGAAATGCATATTCATCAAATTGTCTGTCCTGTGTGTAGTTTACCCGATCTCAGGGACGAGGTTGCAGCTGCAGTGTATTTCAACAATCTCAGTATCATGGTAAGACGTCTTGCGTAGTATCTTGTGTTTATTTGTTATTGTTATTTAATTTTACACGCGATAATCACAATAAAGATAAGATGGTTTAGTCTAATTACTCTAATATGTACAAATAAACCTTGAGATGTATTTTCAATTTAGATGAGAGGGCTTGTTGATCCTGAAACGCACGATCTTTTTGAAAAGAAGCTGCGTGATCGCGCTTTGAGGAAAGAAGCGAATTTTAGATGGTGTGCACACGTAAGTACATTGAAGGATTGATGGTATATGTATTGGAGAGAGGGAGGGGGTAAGAGTGGGGCGGGAAGGGGTGAAGGGAGGAGGATGGGAGAGAATGTGGGAAAGAGGAGGGGAGAAGTTGGGGAGAATGGCAAGGAAGAGAGGAGGGAGGAAATTGAGAGGGAGGATGGGGGAAGAGGGGAGAAGGGAAGGAGGAAAGGAGTCAAGAAAGGAATATGAAAAGAAATGTTGAATGAATGAAATAAAGAATAAGTTTTACACTTTTTTTTTCAAACGATAACTCGTATACAGACCCTACTGGTAGCAGCTGTAAAAATGCAAACCTACTATAGGGCTTACGTTCGAAAGATTCCATCTACAGTACATCTACATTCAGTTGCGTTGAACGGGATGTCCAGGGTCTTAAGTTTTCCTTTTTCTTCAGTGTTCTTATGGATTTATCAACGATTTTCCAAACGTAAACAAGATGCAATGTCCAGACTGTCAAAACTTCACCTGCTTCGGGTGCAAAAAACCGGTAAGATCATTTCTAGAACATCTCGGAACATTGTGAGTAGTCACGTACTAAGTTAGTATTTCACGTTAATTGATATTTTTGTAGTGGGAAGATCAACATGAAGGAATCACTTGTGAACAGTTTGCTCGATGGAAGGAAGAAAACGATGAAGAATATCAACCTGCTGGTTTCGCTAGACATTTTGCTCGTAGTGGCATCGGTGAGTATTAACTGTACAGTTCTCTAGAGCTACAATGTCTACCATTTTTAGTGTAAAGTTTCACTTTACACTATTGTGATGAGTGGCGAAAATTCACACGATTCAGTCAATCAGCCAAGTGTCTCTTTCATGGTCTTTCTGTATCGATCCACTATTGACCATGAAAGAGAGACTTGAAGCAAGTCTAGTACTGCCCTTGCGTAACCAAAACTCTGATAAGCTGTAAATCCTTTTATACAGCATAAACGACTAGCCTTTCATATTTGGGGAACTGCTTTGAAATATGATGAATTATGCCTTTTCTGCGCGGCAGGGTCTTGTGCAAAATCGTTTCCGTGCAATTTAAGTGCAATGACGCCAGAAGTTACACTGGGGCCACTCGTCGTGTAAACCTTCATTTTTTAGTGGATTTTCACCAGAATGCGACAGATTTGGGTTTGACAGGAACTGCATACGTCTACTAAAAACCAGCTCTTTCCATACACTTCGGTTCAGGAGTTACGAGACGAAATATAATGCCCTAAACTTTTACAGTCTTAACTTGACTTGGTTGTCTAAAATGAACGCTCCGAAACGCTGCGCAAATTTTGTTGAATAATGTATTTAAAAAGCTATTCAATTAATGCTTATGCCTTATAGCGTTTGTCTTTGAAACTTTGCACTATCCTTGGATCCCTAGTTTTTGTTTTGTTTCTGCTTTTATTCTGCTAAGAATGGACAATCAATAGACGTCCAATAAAGGTCTTTCAATTTTATGTGAATTAAGCTAACTAAAGTCAAATGTATAACTAAAATGTTTGGGTGATCATTATCTGTCTGAAGGCCAATTTACACTACACAATTTTTGCCCAAAGCCTGGTTTCCATAGGGTCGTAACGGTCGTAAAGATTGAGCCGGTCACGATCTTTTTCAACAGCTGAAATACAAATGAAAACAGGCAGAGTGATAATATATCGAGAATATGTATGATTTAAATGTAGTTTACAGGTAAAACTATTATAATCTGGCTGATGAGAAAGATCGTAACTTTATATTTTATGACTGTTACAACCATATATGGAAACCTGGCTTAAAACTGTTGCATGCAACATACTTGCAACTTGATTTGTACTGTGTAATTGGAGATATGTTTGGGTGCATGATCAGATTAAAACATTGCTAGATAGTATACTTCAAAATAAGTTTTCCGTTTTTATATCATTTTTTAAAATAGGTTAGGTTAGGGTTGGGGTTAGGGTTAGTATTAGGGTTAGGGTTTAGTTTTACGTTAGGATGGGTTTTTTTACGTTATAAAAACGGAAATCGTATTTTGAAGTATACTAGGCCAAAAAAAAAATATGTGGGTTTCCGGTTTCCCGACCCTACCTAGCTTTTGGACGCCGAAATCCCGACCCTAAACTTTTTTATTGGATCATGCTTGTAAGTGTTTCCACTT